GTTACAAATTAATAATAATTTTGAAGCATCATAAAAAAACAGATATCTTTTTAATTATTGTACTATTCGTTCAAATTTTTTTTTATATTCTTATGTTTATTAAATTTCTTTCATTATTGAAGAAACTAATTTTTTCTTCAATAACCATTTTTTATCATCAATTAATTATATTATAAATATATAATAAATTCTTTTGGAATGTCACCGAACCGGTGCTAATTTTATTCATTACTGGAAAACATTCTATAAGAATATAACGATTTCGAGATATTTTTTTTTTATAATGTTTCACGATGTTATTATATTATAGTTAGATATGCAATACATAATATTTCTGAATAGATTTTTTTTTCCATTTTTTTTGATTTGATCGAATTCTTTTAACATTTTAACTTTTCGTTCGATTAATTCGCGAAAACGAGCAATTTATTAAAGGTAAATTTTTCGCTCGAAATCAACCCACCAAGCATGCGCATAATATGTATATTTTTCTATAGGCAGAGTGGCGATTCGTAGGCTGGTTGGTCGCGAAGCAAAGGGCCGCGTCACGAAGGCAAAGTTAACGGCCCATAATTCATAGCCGACATATAATAAATATCGTTACCCCATCGTAAGCGCACGTAGACACGTGCATTGCGGTCTTATATGCACGTACCCTTCGTATAATACGTATGTAAAGAAGTAAATGTTTCACGACTCCATATAGACTTTCCTCGAGATTACGTGGTGAGCTTTCGTCCTTGGCAGAGGTAATAAAAGTTTCTTTTAACAATGCACTCGCGCGCAGAATAAAATAATAGTCGCCCTTTTGGATTCTTCTTTATCCCTTCACAAGTATACACAGGTGTTTTTTTAACTCGAGAATATGAGAGATTATTCATCGAATCATAATTTATGCGAATCTATTGCTTTTATTCGCTAGTTCGTTTAGTTCATTTACATTTCTGTCATTCTTCAATAGATTTATTCATGAAAATTTTACTTGTTATTTTGTATTTGCATTAATTTGAAATAATTTCCATCATAAATTTATTGTGACAGGATCTTCTTATTCATTTGACTGATATTGAGTACATTCTTCTACAAATCTTTTTTTTTTATATTTTTTTTATTGAATATCATATCCCTTTGTTACTTTAATTTATTCATTCGAAAAATAATTACTTGCAAGCATTAAAATTGAAACCAGAATATAATGATTATATGTAAATGACTAACGGTAAATAGAAGTGAAAAAAATTTTAAATACTATCATTTTTAAAAATCTTCCATGGTTTCGGGTCATCGAACTCGTGAAACAATATTATATCCTCGAGTTCGATATTTATTATTCTCTTTTACATCGTATATTTAAATTATTTCTTAAAAATTATTTAAATTTAATTTTCTTAATTATAATCCTTTATTAAACATATTTTTATTTATATTCTAAAATTTATTAATTCTTTTTGCAGATGCAATTACAAGTATTCATATTTCGCATTTACCACGATATTCTGAAATAAAGTTACGAAGAAACTGTATACGTACAAGTATGCTTGTAAACTCTATTCGTGCGCGAATATTAAAACGATATAAAAGAAGAAAGTCAAACGCGCGGAGGAACCCAAAATAAGGTGAATAAAAAATATCTTGCATGGTCGACCACCGCGGTTTGCGGTTACAATGTGCAACGAAAAAAGAATTCTTCGTTTCGTCTCCTTCTTCTACCTCTCTTCGTCCGACTTGTTTCTTGGTCCTCTCGGTTCCCCATCCTTCTCATCCTTCGTATTCGTTCCTGAGATTTTCAACGTGTGTAGACAGCCGGATTTATATTCAAATGAATCGCCGTGGAAGGGTCGACTTATCAACGTATCAAACCCTACGAGGCATAAAGAATAGACAAGGGGTGAGTTGCGAAAGAATGTTTGCCTCTCTTTGATCGATTATAGGTATCGCTTGAGGGAATTGTTATTAATTATACCGAGAACTTGTTCCTTGAAAATTAATTCCGGAATGCGAATTACGACAGTTCCGCTCTGTAATCAAATCTCGGATGAACGACAACCTTCTCGATCATTGTCAATGTCGAAGCTAAATTTATTTTATTCGTTGAGACGACGAATCGATCTTTCCAAAAAAAAAAAAAAAAAAAAAAAAAAA